CCACTAATTTCTATGGCCCATTTGGCTAGTCGGCCCGAGAGCTTGGGTTTGTGAATTATGTTCCTTAATGGGTAAGAAGTTACAATGCATATGGGATGGCACTGAAAGTTTGGCTTCAACTTTCTGGAGGCGCCTAGCAAAGCAGTGCCAATTTTTCTAGGTGAGGTACCTCGTTTCGGCCTCACCTAGGGTTCTACTAACATAATAATTAGGAAATTGTGTACCTTCCTCTTCCCGAACTAAGACTCTATTTGCCGCTATCTCGGATACCGCTAAGTACAGGTACAACTACTCGTCTGTCTTTGGAGTATGGAGCAAGCGTGGATTCAAAAGGTACCATTTGAGTTCTTCTAAAAATTTCTAGCACTCTGGGGTCCATGAAAAGTTATTCTTCTTCTTTAATAGCGAGAAGAACCGATGACTCTTATCGGAGGACCTCGATATGAATCGTCCCCGGGAGGCTATGCGCCCGATTAGCCTCTGAACGGTCTTAACATTATCCACCACGGTGATATCTTCTATAGCTTTGATTTTGTCACGATTGTTCTCGATCCCTCGGTTGGACACCATGAATCCAAGGAACTTTTCGGATGCGACCCTGAATGCGTATTTCTCCAGGTTCTGCTTCATATTGTATTTCTTTAGTATGGTGAAAGTTTATTGGAAATGTTTTCAATGGTTCTCTACTCGCAGCGACTTAACTAACATGTCGTCAATATAAACCTCCATTGATTTTCCTATTTGTTCTTTGAACACCCGGTTTACTAGGCATTGATAAGTGCACCGGCATTTTTTAGTCCGAACGGCTTTGAGTTATAACAATAGGTGCCGAATTTAATGATAAAGGAAGTTTTTTCTTGATTGCTCGGGTTCATATGAATTTGATTGTACCCGGAATAGGCATCGATAAAACTGAGTATTCATGTGTGGCCGTTGCATCGATCATGCGATCGATGTTAGGAAAAGGAAAAAAGTCCTTGGGGCATGCCGTTCAAGTCTTTGTAATATACACATAATCTTAACTTATTTCTCTTTTTAGGTACTACTACTACGTTAGCCAACCAAACCGGGCACTTAACTTCCTGAATGGAACCTATTTTAAGGAGTTCGGATACCTCGCCTTCGATGAACGCATGCTTGACTTCGGATTGAGGCCCCCTTTTCTGTTTAACCGCGTAGAACTTTGAGTCCAAGCTTAGCTTATGAGTGGTTACTTCTAGTGGGATCCCTGTCATATCTAAATGGGACCAAGCAAAACAATCCACGTTAGCTATAAGCAATTTAATGAGTTTTTTCCTGAGCTCGAGAGTCAACCCCATGCCCAGGTATACCTTCCAATCGGGCAGGTGTTTGATCAATATGGCTTGTTCCAGCTCCTCGACCATCGACTTAGTGGCATCGGAATAACCAAGGGCTATGAACGACCTAGGAACCCCATAATCATCATCCTCGTCTATTTGTTGCTTCTCCGGTTCGATCGGGGCCGATGTCAATGATTGTTATTTAGTTTCTTCCTTCCTAACCAACTTCGGGTTCTTTGATGTCGAGAGTGCAGACACCGGGGTCACCTCATCGACCTCGAACATTTATTATGCGGCTAGTTGTTATCTGTAAATTGTCTTGATCCCTCCCAGTGTGGGGAACTTTAATGCCTGGAGTAATGTTGAGGGTATTTCCCTCATGTCATGAATCCATGGCCCTCCGAATAGTGCATTATATCTCATATCACCTTCAATCACATAGAAATTTGTTTCTTGAATGTTCCCCGTGGTGTTTACTGGCAGGGTTATCTCCCCTTTATTAGTTTTGTACGCCATGTTAAACTCGTTTAAAACTCGGACTGCAGGCACTGTTTGGTCTTGTAGACCAGTTGTTCCACGATCCTCGATCTAATGATATTGGCTGAGCTACCTGAATCAATTAACACACACTTAACTCGAAATTTCTTTATGAGTACAGATATTACAAGCGCATCATTATATGGTTGCACGATGCCTTCAGCGTCTTCATTGTTGAATGATACGGTCCCCTACGGTGTACAATCTCGAGTCCATTTTTCCCTTGTAATGGACACCTTAATGCTCTTTAGCATCGGCCCTTGGGGGACGTCGACTCCACCAATAATCATGTTAATGACGTGCTGGGGTTCTACTTGTTCGGTCTGCTTGTTGGAGTCCCTATTCCTGAAGTGATTTTTGGCTCGATCACTCAAAAATTCATGGAGGTGTCTGTTATTGAATAAACGGGCTACTTCTTCTCTTAATCGTTAACAATTTTCGATTTTGTGGCTGTGATGCAATGATACTTACACATTAGGTTAGGGTACCTTTGGACAGGATCGAACTGAAATAGTCGAGGCCATTTGGTATCTTTGATGCATCCGATGGGGGATATGATGCTGGAAGCATCGACATTGAAGTTGTATTCTGATAATCTCGGTGCCTCCCTGGCCACGAGTGGCCTATCGAACCATTCTTGCTCATGAGTCCCCGACTATTGTGGCTTCGATCGTTGTTTTTTCACTCCTCGCGGGGTTACGCCCGGACCTATTACCCCTTCTATCTCTATTATATGATTGATATTGATCTCTTTTTTATCTTTCTTCATGATCAACGACTCTTTTGGATCTGTCACTAGCTATAAAGAGATACACGGATCCAGAAGGGGCCCCAAGCTAATAGCCTTCGACTCTGATTTTTGATTGGTACCTGTTATGGACGTCTGCCCAAGTTAGCACCGGGTATTCTACCAAATTTTGTTTCAACTGCTACAAATCTAATGAGCTTTGGGGGTTAAGAACTTGTGTGAATGCCTGAAAGGCCCAATCGTCCGCGACCAGAAGCAGTTCCATCCATTCCATTTGAAACCTCGACACGAATTCCCTGAACATCTTGTTATCTCTTTGCTTTACTTTGAAAAGGTCTGACTTCCGAGTCTCGACCTTGATGGCCCCGGCGTGCACCTTTACAAAGGCATATGCAAGCATAGCAAACGAATCAATAGAATTAGGTGGTAAGTTGTTATACCATATCATAGCCCCTTTTTGACAAGGTTTCTCCGAACCTTTTGAACAGAACGGATTTGATTTCATCATATTCTAAGTCGTTCCCCTTGATGGAACACGTGTAGGAGGTTACATGTTCATTCAGATCAGTTTTTCCATTTAACTTTGGAACTTCGGGCATACAAACTTCTTCGAGATTGGTTTCAGAGCTCCGTTCAGAGGGAAAGGCTTTTGGACAAATTTCATGGAATCCAGGCCTTTCAATTCGGGGGTGCTCTTGGGATCTGATTAACCTTGCAGTTATAGGTCTCCACTTTTTTGTCGTTGGCTTTGATCTTCCTTTCCCCCAATTCCACCCATTTCGTTAGTTCCTCGAGCATCTTTATTATTTCAGGGTTGGGCCCAGCTTCAGCTTCACCCAGCCTCTCCGAATTTCGTTCATTTCTTCGGGTGTTCTCCCGGGATGGCTCGGGCTCAACTCTGCTGGGAGCATGGATTTGGTTCTATAACTGGGCTACTGCCACCTGTTGAGCTTGTAATATTTTGAATATCACCCGTAAATTGATCCCATCGCCTTCACCATCGTGCATACCCCTAGCTACTGACCTGGCTCCTCCACGAACGTTGTTTTCTAGGTTAGTGGACAAGTTAGCGTCCATGGCCACATGGGAGTTGGCATCGATTGGGTCTATGACCGAGGCTCCGTTGGGGGTCAACAGGGGGAGCCTTGTTGCTGGGCACTATATTGTTGTTCTCGCCATGATGGCCAGACTCAGCATCAACGTTCAAGTGAGCAGATTGAGAGCTTGACATTCTTAAATTTACCTAAAATTAAAATCTCAAAGAACAAGAGTAAAGAAAAGTGCGTTATGGAAATTTGTATCAAATTGCCACTATTATCCTTTGTCCCACGGTGGACGCCAAACTGTTTACCCTCAAAAACGGATAACAACTGAATTTATATGTGGTTTTAAGGATATGCGTATTAATTCAATACAAATGATTAATAGCATTAGATTAAACAGATTAAAGACGTAATAAATTGTCAAACCAATAATGAGAGTGATCCTGAATTCAGTAACGGCTTAATGAAGTGCCTGTCTTCGATCCCGAACTCACACTAATGAAGAACTGATGAATAAAAGTAAGAACTTTGAATAATTGAGAGAATAAGAGTATATTACCTTGATATGTGTGTTACCATGTCCCCCGTGAATAATAAGTTTTCCCCTTTATATAGTAGGGAAATTTTATCCCAAGTGTAATTCTAAACGAGGTAAAAATCTTCCATTTCACTAATCACTGATTTTCTGCTGATACGGACCGAGATTCACGCCGGGATATTCGGTTGGGTACGGATTTCACGACCCTTTGTTAGTCGTGTGCAGTTGTTTGATAATGTTCTCCGATGTCTCGAGGCCCAAACCGGAACCAGAGGACGTGATTCCGATAACTCCGAGGGCAGGAGTCTTGCCCGAACCCCGATACGAGAGGCTCCTCGCCCAAATTCCGATTCCTTACGATCATGTTCCTGTTCCGTTTGTCTTAACGGGAAATTGAGAAGTTTAACGGGCTCGATTTTACTCGTATACAGTTTCGTTTGTCTTAACGGGAAATCGAGAAGTTCAACGGGCTCGGTTTTACCCGTATACAGATGCAAAGTATAATTATGTTCTCAGTGTTAGAAATTACCTGAAACATTTTTCCAAGTCCAATGCTTATATATTAGCGCTAAACAAAAAACAAAGCTATTCGGCTTTTCCTTTTTCAATATAAGATTGAATGTGTCCGTAATTAACCTATTAGTTTATTTTGCGATATCCCCTGAGAACTATGATTTGCCAACTATAATATGTTTGATCAAGTTACTTAACTACATGTAAGCATAGCTCTTTCGAGTAAATTTTGAAATTATGACCGTACACTTATGAACGAACATCATAAAACACAGCTGATCGAGTGGAGCTAGAAGTCCCAATTTGAAGAAGACAAAAACTTATGGCAGAACAAACTAAATTTACATTAGATAAAAATGAACAATTTTCCTATTTCTAGCTACTATCGTGTATTGTATTACATTAGATAATATGGATACACGACATCACAACAAACTAAATTTACAACTTACAGAAGGAAAAGAACGTTTATCTACCAAAACAAAGAAAAATAAACACACACTCGTAACTATTCTTAGCTAGTACTCATTGCAATTGCTCCAAAAGCACCTCTCATCCTAGTTAAAAGGCAGAACCGGTGGTAGATCCATGACGTCCACCAGTATTAGGACCTTGAACAGTAGCACTTCCGGTTCCAGTAGTGGTCCCCGGTGGGTACTGTGTCCCAACCACGCCTGTTGTTGTCCCAGTAGGCACCGTAGTGGTCCCATGGGCCCCGGTCATGGTGTGACCGGGAGCCACACCGCCGCTAGCAGTATAAGCAGTAGTTCCTCCGGTAGCAGCTACTTGTCTCGAGGCCGCGTTCTGCTCCTGTGCTGCCAGCTTATCCATCTCCGCTTGATGGATCCTCTCTTCTTTTTTCTCCGTCGCCATTTGTTTTTGCACTGGATCACTTGTCGTCAATTTCTCCGCCTGTTCAACAAAAGTTAAGACATAAATATAAAAATTTAAACTTTAAACATTTTAAAGCGCTAAATGTTTTTACACCATCAATTTAATTAATCCGCTATCCCAAAATAGTATTCTTATCATCTCGTACCATGCTTGCAGGGGCGGATGCAACAATACGGTACCAAGTTTAACTAAATTCAATAGGTTCGAGTATAGTGCTGCTGGTAGTTATACGGACTCATAATTTTAAAAATATAAAGCTAAAACCTTGAAGCATAGGCCTTAAGGTTTAAATTAAGAATTCGCCTTTGTGCTTGCGAATTGATCCCCACTGAAACACATTTTTTATTAATCTATTTAAGGAGGAATGACACATTTCTACGATTGAAAATAATTCTAACTTTAAATTCTTCATTTTACTCTCTTTATCCAATGTGAAGCTTTTATAACCATAAAATATCATGACCTACATAATTTTTACCTTTTAAGCTTTTAAGATCATAGATCACAAGTTTTAAAAGTCTAGTTTTTTTTAAACTTTCTATCAAGTCACACTACCTCATTTGAGGTGAAACGGAGAAAGTATTTATCAACTGTTACATGGTTGCAAGTTATGCTTAACTTGATGAGTAAAGAATCAATCAATATACTGTTAAATATACACAACTTAAAATTCTAAATTAATTTTTAAACAAAAAAGAATAATCAGAAAAATACTGAAAAGATGAAAAAAAAAACCTTCTCTCCGACGACGGCCTTGGTTTTTTCCATGCCAGCCTTAGCCGAAGCGGCAACATTAGCTGCTTTCTCCTTTGCTGCTTGCATCTTCAAATTCCTTTTTAAAATATTCTCTTTATTTTGCTACGCTTTTAACTTCTCAGTTTCTTGATTATGAGTTGCGGAGAACAGAACTGTTCGTTGTGGGAGTCTCATATAAGAAGAGTGATGAGGAGGAGAACGTGGGTGGGGCCACGTGGAATAAAAGTGATACGTGGATTGATATAAGAGTTGGCTGCATGAGTTTATAACACGTATGTAGAGGTTGTCAAAATGCAGCTAACAGATAAGAGCTGCAGTGCGAAAGTAACGGAATCGAACGAATTAGTAAGTTTGGTTATATTTATATACTTAGATATTCTTGCCCGTGCTTCCTAACAATGTAATCCTAGAATGTTGTTGGGACATTATTATTAGGGCGTATTGTTGTTCAAGTTATACATTTTCAGTAGAATATAACTGTAGAAAATTATGAGCACAGTAAAATTTGCATTCACTATTACGTCATTATGTTTATCAATAGTGACGCTGCGATCCACTCTTGAAGTAAGGAAGTTTATCTTGTACATATTTTAATTCATCTCATCAAAAACATTTAACGCCTTCATGTTCAGAAATTAATCGAGGACATTGTAAATTTGAGTAGACTTTAAAAATATTGACAAAATAAACACAAAATTAAAACTTACAATGGAGTGTGATCAATATAGTTTTCCAAATTTGAATGATACAACATATACTCAGAAATATCTATGTTAAATTAATTAGAATGAGCACATTTACACATAAAACAATAATCTAAGCACCCAATAAGCAACAACATAGTAGATCATAATGGTGTTAAAAACCTAACCGGAACCGAAAATCGAACTGTAAAAGTGGATTAATGGATTATTGGTATCGGCTTATCGGTTTAACGGATGGGGAACGGATTGAAATTTTATTGTTAACGGCTTATCGGTTTGGGGGCGGATTATTCAATTTTCTTATCGGCTAAACCGTTAATCCGTTATATA